TACTGGCTCCTAGGGGGGTCTTTTGCCAACTCTAAAAGGAGTGGCATTTTGCCACTCTTTTTGGAGCGGCAAAAGGGAGGATCGGGGTCATGGCATGGGGTTGCTGCAGCACCAATCTGCCGCTTCCTGGGGTGGCCCAGAGTCGCCCGTCTGCAGAGGCCCTTAAGAAAACCCTAGAAAATTCAGAGGTTCCCCATATGTTCATGGGCTTCTTGAAGGCACATGTGTTTGCAATTGTACACACACACACACACACTTTATTATCTCTGCAGTCCCTGTAGCCAGATGTCTGGCCTTGTAGCATCAGAAGGGCAAAGGGATGAGTCCTAGAGAGCACTGCTCGCATTTGCATAGAATCATAGAATTGGAAGGATCCTCCAGGGGCCATCCAGTCCAACCCCTTCTGCCAAACAGGGATACATAGAATGCTAGAGTTGGAAGGAACCTCTAGGAGCCATTCAGTCCAACCCCTTCTGCCATGGAGGAATACATAGAATCCTAGAGTTGGAAGGAACCTCCAAGGACCATACAGTCCAACCCTCTTCTGCCATGTGGTAATACACAGTACCCTAGAGTTGGAAGGGACCCCAAGGGCATATTCCTACATGGTAGAAGGGGGTTGGACTGGATGGTCCTTGGAGGTCCCTTCCAACTCATATGAACTGCATATGAAATTGGTCCTACACTCACAATAAATTGGTCTTTTCATTAGACTCTTCTTTGCTCATCATCTTTTCCACAGGATTGTCTCTCCCTACACTCTTTCAGTGTCACAGAATGTTCTAAAGCAGTGATCCCCAACCTGTGATCCTCCAAATAATTTGGACTTCAGCTTCCATAATTCCTGACTGTTCACCAAGTTAGCTAGGACTTCTGGGAGCCTAAATAAATAATAAATGGAGGACCAAAGGTTGGGAATCACTGTTCTGAAGCATTCTAACTGGCCAAGAAGAAAACTCATCAACAACATACCTCTTCCTTCTCCACATTGCCACTTTTATCTTAGCTTCTGTTACATCCAAGAACTCCTTTCCACTCAGTTTCCATTTCTAATTTCCCCCTCATGGACACCTCTTGTGTTTACTGTGATTACGTGGTGTTATCATCCCAACAGACAAATTATTTTCTGCTTCTCTCACAAAAAGAAGGAATATTCTGATGCTTGATGGGTTTTCTCTTTGACCAGTTAGAATGCATAAGAATATTCTGTAACATTGCACAGCATAGCCAGTCACCACAAAAATTCCTTCATGCAGTATGAAAAATTGTGCTACTCAATAAGCAATCTTTTCGTCTCCAAAAATGAAAAATTGACAGCAACAGTGGCTTGTATGTGTTTCCACTTGAAGAAATATTGGCCATTAAGATTTTAAAGCAGTAGCAGGGGTGGTGCAGAAGAGATGAATTCTGATAAGAGAACAATATTGGCTGCATTTGAAACTGAATGCTTGCTAGATGTTGCAGCTGGGAAATTGTGAAGCCCAGTCTTCCACAAAGGGACTTTTTTCTCAAAGACCCTCTGTTTTCTGATGATGAAAGCTGACAAGCCAAATGCCACATTGTGTTGAATAAAAGCAGCTATCAGTTAAAATGAAGCAACATTGCCGCTGAAATCTTTACGTCTAATCTGAAATGTAATGCTTTAAACCAAGTTAATTTCCAGCAGCTATAACACAGGTATTGCAGAGAATGACATATTTCTTATCCATCATAAAAATGATGGAGGACCCACAATAGAGATATTCAAACAAACAAGAGCCAAAGATCACCTTCACACAAAAGCATTGATAGACACTTTCCCCTTCACATAAAGGCTCTGGAAGTAGCAACAGCAACCAAAAAAAGGACTCAAACTGAATTGGTTATTAACTTGAGTATGGTATCTAGTAGTATAAAGAATGTACAACAGGAAATACAAGCAAGGACTGGTTTATATACTCATCTGACATATAATTAGTATGCAAAATGGAGAAATAAATATACGTTGACACATGCCATGCACTCAAGGTAACATGTAATGCCTGGATATTGGTTTTGGGGTTTTGGAAGATTTTTTTTTTTTTACTGTCTCTCCATATAAAGGCATGCTGAACCTTGTCAGCAGACTCATGGGATATAGGAAAAGTAAGATATAAATATAATTAATGAACATTAATTAGCAATGTATATTATTTGATAACTTTTTATATAGCTTGAACCAGGTCAGAATGGGAGGGAAAGAAATAGGGCTGGATCATCGAATCTAAGCTTATCACACACCTGAATTTTTTAAAGTCAGAAAACTTTCATTTTCGAAAAAGTGTCGGCTGAGCGCTCCTTGGATCTGGGATGGATGCAGCCAGCACCATCGCAGCAGGATCCTCAACAAATTACATATGATAACATTCGGGTGTATCCTGGATCGAGGATTGAAACCGGAAGAGGTAAGATGTCTCTTTCAGGTGTGTGATAAGTTCCTTAAGACAGGAGGTAAATAAAATATACAGACTAAATGTTGTTTTTAATTGCTGTAATCGTACAAGCCATTGTATTCCCTATTACCATGTATGGATTCAAGAGCTGGACAGTTAAGAAAGCAGATATGAAAAAAAATCAATTCATTCAATATATGGTGCTGTAGAAGAGTGCTGAGGACACCATGGGCAAACAAAAAGACAAATAAATGGGTCATAGAACAAATCAAACCAGAAATCTCTCGGGAAGTCAAGATGACTAAACTGAGGCTTTTGTACTTTGGTCACATTATGAGAAGGCACGACTCATTGAAAATAATAATAATGTTAGGAAAGGTGAAGGGAGGTAGAAAGAGAGGAAGAATGGATGGACTCTATTAAGGAGGTCATGGGTATGACTTTATAGGAACTAAGCAGAGCAGTGGAGGACCGGACTTGGAGATGTCTCATCTACAGGGTCGCTATTAGTCGAGATCAACTTGAGGGTGATTAACATCAACACATTTCTTAATGTCATTCTAGGGATTTTTTTAAAAACTAGCATACAATGGCTGCATCCATGCTGCAGAAACAATCAAGGTTGGCACCTCTTGAACTGCCATGGCTCACTGCTATGGAATTCTAGGAACTGTAGTTTTGTGAAACATTTAGCCTTCTCTGTCATTAGAGCTCTGGTGTAATAACAAACTGCAATTCCCAGAATCCTGTAGCATTGAGCCATGGCAGTTAAAGTGGTGTCAACCTGGATTATTTCTGCAGTGTGGATGCAGCCGATGTTTGTGTTATTATCACAAAAGATTCAATGGCAATTTCCACCATCAGAAACAACATAGATTTCCACAAAGAGAGTGATTGGTTTGGTTTTTAAAATCCAGGATACACTGCACCAAACCAACAAAGAAAAGATTCAAAGAGAAATCTATACCAATTCATATTGAATCCCCTGATCATTCTTCCTCCTCAGAATTTTGGGGGTGAGGGACAGAATTCCTTAAACTTTTATTAACATTTTCAAAACACTATTCTTTTAAAAAAAAGAAGACTGGAGTTTAGTAGGGACGTTATCACATGGGGAGAAAGTGGAAATAAACAGGCACGAGCGGAAGTCTTTAATTTACGGGATTTGTCCCGTTCCTCCTCGTCTGATAACTAAATTCGAAATTAAAAGGGGGTTAATTCGAACACAAACCTGATCTTTTCATTTTCGGGATTTTTGAGGATTTGAAAAGATCAGGTTTTTGTTCTAATTAACCCCCTTTTAAATTCGAATTTAGTTATCAGACAAGGTGGAACGGGACAAATCCCGTAAATTAAAGACTCCCGCTCGTCCGGTTTATTTCCACTTTCTCCCCGCAACTCCCCGTGTGATAACGTCCTAGAAAGACACTGCAAGCTGATTGGTCAAGCACCTTAGTTTCACAAGAGCTGAATGGTGTTAAGCTAAGGTGCCTACAACCTTTTACAGAAACTAAAATTAGTTTGGATCTGGAGTTGACATGAAGATAAACCATTAAGCCACAAGCAAGGCTCTCTGTTGCAAGCCCTCTTGTTTCTTTGTGGCAATCTATAGAAGTCTAAACTCTGCCCTCTCCATACGTGGAGAGCCACTTTCATCCCATCCTAACCCCTTTTAGCCAAATTCCAGATGGAATTATTATTATTATTATTATTATTATTATTATTATTATTATTATTATCATCATCTTCTCATCTGGGTCCAGTTTGAGATTTATAATTATCACAAATAAAGTTTCCAGTGTGGCCCATTTTAACAAATGTGTTTCATAAAAGGTACAATAATGTATGCAGAATCAGAGGTTGTTTATCAAATACTGGAAGAAAAAATTCCCCAGTGAGCTTTGGCATCATTATATTCTCCTATTTCTTTTGCTATGGCTTAACATTCCTTCTTTAAAAAAATATGATATAGTAAAATGATAGTGCTCTGGGTGATGTTGGTTCACTAGTAAAATGATAGTGCTTTTTGTGGTGTTGCTTTAAATTGATATTGTTGCTTCACAGATACATTTTAATATATGTAATTTTTTTATTTTTGAATTTAATTGCATCTGTTGGTTTTTTAAAAAAAAAAAAATCAGGACCCAGATCCATCAATTAGTCCAATACAACAAAACCCAAAATCCACAAAACAGTGATACCTTTACTGGGACAACTTTTAAAACCACAAAATATATCAAGCAAGCTGTTGAAGCTTCACTGGCAAAGGTTTTAAAAATGACAATCTTAGAGTCACAGGCCTACATTTTATCTGAAGTTGTCTTTCCATTGTCAGTTTAGAGGTAAATCAATGCAGGCAGAAGCCACACACTTTTTTTGGCTGGGGACTGGGATACAAAGAACACTAAAATCCAGGTCATTATATATCAACTCCATTAGCAGCAGAAAAGTAACTCCCCTTAAGAACCCAGTGTTCCCTGTCCTGTGGAGGCTACCAGCAGCTTTCTTAGGCATAGGATATCAAATTTCTCAAGCAACCTCCATACTGTTACATATGGGAAAAACTTTAGGTGCTGTATAGGAACTGGAGCCAGTGTGATGTAGTGGTCTGAATGTTGGACTATGACTCTGGAGATCAGGGTTCAACTCCCTACTTGGCCATGGAAACCCACTGGGTGACCTTGGGTGAGTCACATACTCTCAGCCCCAGAAAACCCCATGATAGGTTTGCCTATCAGAAATGACTTGAAGGCACAGAACAAACATAGGAACTGCAATGTCCAGAACTGGACACAGTACTCCAGGTGAGATCTGCAGAAAGCAGAGAAGACAGACACTATTCCTTCCCTTAATCTGGACAATATAGTTCTGTTGATTCAGCCTAGAACTGCATTGGGCTGTTCTGCTGCCACATAGTATTATAGACTTATGTTAAACTTATGGTCTATCAAGATTCCTAGATACTTTTCATGTGTATTGCTATCAAGTCATGGGTCGCCCATCCTGTCTTTGTGCATCTGACTTTTCCTACCCAAATGTAGTACTTTACATTTATCCCTTTTGAAATTTATTTGTTAAGTTTTCATCCATCTTTCCAATCTGTTAGGATCATCTTGAATTCTGACAGTATTTTTTGAGCTATTAGCTAACGCTTTGGTGTCATCTGAAAATTTCATTAGTACATCCTCTATTCCATTGTCCAAGTTATTTAGACAGAACAAAATGGTCCAGTACACCACACTTGTCATTTCTCTCCATGATGATAAGGAACTATTGTGAAGCGCTCATTTTCATTCGTTTCATTTCATGAAATAAGCAAAATATCCTCATGGTGAAATTATCTCCAGAGGTCTGCTCCCTCTCTCCCAGTTTTTAATCAGGATCTAGAAAAGACCTTCCTAATTTGTTTCTATTGGTCCCCTGTTGCTGTTCTTAACTGTATTGTTTGATATTTCAAATATTTATTGTTGGCTTTCCAGTTGCATTTACATTGTTTTAATATTGCAAGCTGCTTTGTGAAAGCTCTTTGTTTTGAACAGAGCATAAGTACTTAAAAAGAAGACACGTGGTGGGGAAGATTGGCCTGAGGATGGGGGTGATAGCATTTGAAGAATGAAGAAAGATCACATGCAGTGACATAGCTAGAAATAGAGCAGAAATCACCATTCAAAGGGGGTTTCATGATTGCAGTCATTTTTCATTTAGGGTCACAAACTCATACATTTCAATAGCATTTCAGAGATGAATCAAATGAATACATTTGCAGAAATGGCTCAGAACTGCAAGGGAAAATATATCACTGATCAGATCACAACCCCACAAAGCCAAAAACACAAAGACAAGGAGGAAAGTTTCACCATTGCTTTCAGCCCTCCTCAGATAAGTCCCAAAAAGTTTCAAATTGTGAGCACTACTCCAGGAAAATAATTTCTTATATATGACGTGTGAGAAAAGAACAATAAATCATAGTGCTAGAGCACCTGCTCATAAGGATTGCCTGTGAAAAAGAGGTGAAAAGAACTGCTGTGCTTTTAATGGTGGTGCAGAAGAGGGAATTCCAGCAGGTGACGCTTGTATAGGACATTATCACACGTGGGCCAGAAAGCGATGATAAAGTGGAAATGAGGCATTCCGAAAATAAACCAAAAATAAACCTTGATTCCGCAAATGGCTTTCACACGTAATTACCTTAATTGCGAAATTAAAGTAAGCACATTTAATGTTCACACACAAGTGAAAAAAGCCCGTAAATGTACTAGAAATGAGCTTCTTGCACATGCGCAGATAGAGGAATGCTCGCCATGGAACCATGGGAAAAGCAGGGAAATGCTCCCAAATGCGCATTTGCTTTTCACATTACGGTAAATGCAAAATTACCGTAATTTCGCAAATGCATTTCTTCAAAACTAGCGAATTTCAAAAGATCTTGGATAACACCAGTTTCTGCAAAGCAGCTTATTTATATACCGCTTCATATCACGCTATGGGATGTCTAAGCGGTTTACAACTGTGAGCTGATTGCCCCCCAACAAGCTGGGTACTCATTTTAGCGACCTTGGAAGGATGCAGGCCTGAGTCGAGCCTCAGCCCTGGCTGGTATTGAACTCGCAACCTTGTGGTCTATGAGTGAGTGGCTGCAGTACAGGCATTTAACCACTGCGCCACCAGTTTCTGTCCAGTTTCTGTCCAGTTTCTGTGTGACGTCGTGTGAAATCGTGAGGCACAAATCCAGTTTCTGTTTGGGATTTGTGTGGATTAACCAGCAGATTTCTCCCGTGTGATAACGTCCTAGGACTCTCTCAAGTCAGAATAAAGACTCCTCTCTTCATGAGTGGCTCTGTTGTTGTTATTAATTGCTGGCTCTGGGGTTGCAAATAACCACTGGGCACTACAGGAACAAGAAACAGCTATTATTCTGATTATTTACTTTCATGTAATCCTTTCAGGCAACCATTATTTGCCAACTACCTCTTCTTTTTGTCTTTCACTAGTTATAGATTTGTTAGTCTTCTACTAAGGGTGCATTTACACTGTAAAAATAACACAGTTTTTTAAGAACACTAATGTGCAGTAGTTCCATCCTATGGACTCCTAGGATTTGTGGTTGGACAACTTTCTGCCAAAGAGTGCTGGTGCCCAACAAAAGTACTGTTCCCCTCAGTTATTTGTATCCACAGGTTTCCCCAACATTTAAGGTAATGCTGACATACTTGGTGAGGATCCCCCACTCTCCCCACATTTCTTTGGGTAACAAGGAGGGGCCTTTTCCTCCTTTTTCTTCTTTCCATTTTGACCTTCCTCTTGACAGCTCATTCATTACCAGGTCACATACTCCTTCCTCTAGGTTTTGCAGCACTGATTCATTTGGCACAAAAGGAAAGCTGGGTGAATGGGATCAGTAAGGTCACACATCACAATTCACTTCTTCTGTGATTTCAGGTGAGAAGCAAAGCATGATATTCATGTCTCCTCAAGCGACTAAATCCATTCACTTGTTCAGCTTTGTCATTTTCTCATAAGACCACCAGGAGCCCAAGAGATGAACATTGCATATCTGAAAGATGGAATCTTCCTATAAAAAAACTTTGGAAGAAGGCCTTCTCTCAGTCCCATCATTATCACAGGTATGTCTATGGGAGAAAGTTTTCTCGGTGGCTGCCCCCAGACTCTGAATTCTTCCAAGGAAGATTCAGTTGGCCCCCACTTTGCTCTCTTTTTACTAGCAGGCAAAGACCTTCTTATTTAGTCAGTCCTTCAGCTTTTTAACTGGTTAGAGCAATACCACAAGTGTGCTGGGTTTTTAAAATATGTTTTAATGTACTTATAACTGTTCTAAATTAATATTTTACGTGGATTTAATGCTTTTTTAATTTTTGTATTACAGATTTCGCTATTTTGTTTTAATATACAGTGTAAGCTGCTTTGGATTCTCTATTGGGAGAAAAACAGGATATAAATTACATACATTTAAAAATACCATAAACTTAGAGAGGAATCTAACTGGTGGTGAGTTACTTAGCAAAGCAATGCTGCACACCACTTTTCTCTTTCTTCTCAACTTATAAGCAATTCTTATTTACTTGGCAATGTTACTAAAGCATGGCAGTTCAACATAGGTACTTCCACTCAATTCACATACTGTTCAAAGCATATTGATTTCCTGGCCATCTTTTCTGTTCAGTGACCACATATTGACAGGTAGACACACACTCTGGACTTCCTTAGAGTTGATTTATATCTCACCTTTCTCAAAACAAATGATGGAATATGCCTTTCTCCCATGAGGGGGGCTTGAAGAAGCCCACACCATGATGAAAACAATACAGATAAAGCCAAACATGAACAGTATCAAAATACAGTTCAACATATTGTGATATTAAAACACAATTACGATAGGTGAAAAGCAATTAACAGCACTGCAAAAGTACATCACTCTTTCATTAAATGGGTTCATTATATGTTTTTTGGAAACCCTTTTTCTATGGAGAACAAATTTTTTGTGGTTTTTTAAAAAACGTGTGTACAGGAGGTTTTTTGCACAATAATTCCTCTGCCGTGCTTTGGGACATTAAAATAGAGAGAGAACACTGCAGAGGAATATTCATCTCTCCTGCTGCAAGGAGAAATCTATGGCAAGGATGGAACAGTCAAAGGATTCACATCCTTGTTCCACAGTAACTGGCCATTTGTCAAAAGCCTGCTTAAATAAATCACTGCCTGTTTTGGCAGTGCTGACAGAAAAAAAAGCAAAGACAGGACTAGTCCACACTGTGGAAATAAAGCACTTTGACACCTCTTTAACCTCCCCACACTTTTTTTCCCCTTTTGCTGTTCCACAATCTGGGAACAGCCACTAAGAAGGCCCTCTGCCCTGTCCCCACCAAATGTACCTGTGAGGGTGGTGAGACAGAGGAGATTATCGCATAGAAGATAAGGACGGGAACGAAGCGGATCATTCCCATCCTTATGCCATCACACGATTGTGTAAAGATGATCTCACATGTCACGCTTATCCCCTCATTATCCTGTCAATGAAATAGAATTGTCCCGTCAGTTTTCATTAACAGAAACTTCCATTATTGAAAAATGACAGGTCAATTCCACTTCATTGACAGGTCAATGACGGGATAAGCATTATATTGTCTGATAATATTTGTGTGATCATACGATAAGCACGGCATAAGGATGAGATAATGACAGAACAAGTGTGACATCATCTGATAATCTTTGCGCAATCGTGCGATAAGGACGGGAGCGATCTGCTTCGCTCCTGTCCTTTTCCCCATGTGATAATCTCCAAAGACAAAGGGCCTCCCCAGAAGATCTCAGAGCATGGGCAGGTTCACAGATACACACAGAAGAAGCTTCCAAAGCATGGGTGGGCCATATCCACTCCTACAAAAAACAAAATCCTAATTTGTCCCCAGATGTCTTCTAGGGAAGAAGGAGGGAATATTCACATTTTTTTTCATACCTTCCTGGACCATTTTAGACATAGGAGAAGATTTTTTTGTTTTAGCAATAGGAAGTGAGCAGAAATCACTTCCTGTTTCAGAAAAAGGCCTCTTGGGCCTAAATTGGCCCAGAGTTGGCCCAAAACATGATAGAAATGCCTTCCGCACACCCTAGAAGACATTTTGCAACAATAAATAAATAAATAC